GGTTACATCCTGCTGGTAATGGTGTTTGATTGTAGAAGGAACAAGTAGGACATTTCTTTACTATTTCTTTGACTTGTTGCCAGGTTATGGAAAAATCCTTTTTTAAACCTTTACTATTTACATGATGTTTTTTATGAAATTCTGAGGCCTCCAGCACATTTCCTATCAATAATTTATCAATCTCATCATTGCCTTGTGCTAGAGGGCCTGGCAGACCAGTATGGGATCGGATGTGAGTTATATATAAAGGATGACTCCTTTTTCTGATTGTATCTTGTAATTGAATAAATAATGAAGTTAATTCTGAAGCATCGTGGATAAATTCTGCAGTCTCAATATGTAATACTACTCTTTCAGCATACTGAGAGTCAGTTACTATATTGAGAGGTTCTGAAAAATCCATTAATACCAACAGAATAGCATACAATTCTGATTTCTGAACTGAATTATAAGGACTTTGAACCACTTTACTTAAATTTTCTGATTTGTAACCTGCCTTTCCTTGTTTGTTGGCATCTGTATAAAATGTACGAACTCCAGATATGGGTTTTTTCCTCACAATTCGAGGCAAGATCCAATCAGCTCTCCTTATAAGATCAATTCTATTGCTTTTGGGATATTTGCTGTTAATTTCTCCCAAAAAATTACTACAAGCTTTTTGCCAAGCTTCATTTTCTATCCATAATTTTTCAATGTCCTCCTTAGTTAAAGGTATGACAATTTCTGCTGGGTCTATTCCTGCTAATTGACGAAGTCTCAATTTTCCTTTCCAAATCAAGTCAGAGATTTTTTCCACATAAGTTTTTAATTTTTTATTTGGTTTATTTGGTAAAAATATCCATTCCAATATAATATCTTCCCTTTGCATTAATATTCCTGTTGGGGAATGCCTAGAAGGTAAAATAACCAAAATGCAATCCAGCTTTGGATCAATACGATCCACGTGCCCTTCATGTACTTTCTTTTCTACCAAGGCCAATTCTTTCTCAGCTTCAGGTGATAATTCTCTTGGACTATTTAAGTCCTTATCACCTTCTAAGGTTTTAAACAAATTATTCAGTTCATCATTTTTTACCCCAACAATAGTTCTTAGATGAGAAATGTCTCCAAATAATCTTTGAAAGTCATTAAGAGTCTGTAGTCGATCTCTCCTAATTTGCACTTTTTGAGGTCTAATTTTTTGAAGTTCTATTTTATATCCTAAATAATTAATAGAATCTCCTCTTTGTACCTTTTCTAAAGCAATTTGTAATCCCCAGCAAGGCAAAATTTTCTTTACTTTTTCAAACATTCTTTCTAAAGTATCTGCATTTGAATCAGCTAATAAAATGTCATCCATATAATGATAAATTATGGATTTAGGAAATTTTTTACGTATCACTTCTAATGGCTGTTTTACAAAATATTGGCACAAAGTTGGGCTATTCAACATTCCCTGTGGGAGAACCCTCCATTGAAATCTTTTAACCGGTTGAGAATTATTATAAGTAGGCACTGTGAAAGCAAATCTTTCTCTGTCTTTTTCTTGTAAGGGTATTGAAAAGAAACAGTCTTTTAAATCAATAACTATGAGAGGCCAGCCTTTTGGTAACAGAGTAGGTAAAGGAATTCCAGATTGTAAAGAGCCCATTGGCTGAATTACTTTGTTAATTGCTCTAAGGTCTGTTACCATTCTCCATTTACCAGATTTTTTTTTTATAACAAATACAGGAGAATTCCAAGGGCTGGTTGATTCTTCAATATGATGAGCATTTAACTGTTCTTCCACCAGCTCTTGTAAAGCCTGGAGTTTCTCTGTTGTTAAAGGCCATTGCTGAACCCATACAGGCTTCTCTGTTGACCATTTTAAAGGTAGAGCTGTTAATGTTTTTGGAAGATTATCAGTTGTTGTGCCCTGTTCTTGTATGACATGGATGGCTGGTGAGCACTCATTAGAATAATATCTTTTAATATTTCTCTCAGAAACATGTACTAATTTATGATTTGTTTCTGAGATTGGAGGGATATTAATCTGAGTATTCCATTGTTGTAACAAGTCTCGACCCCACAGGTTCATAGCTATGTTAGCCATATATGGTTTTAATTTTCCTTTCTGTCCTTCTGGACCTATACATTCAAGCCATCTTACACTTTGTTTCACTCTAGATAATGTCCCAATTCCTAAGAGTTGAATGTTTACCTCCTGAAGAGGCCAAGTTGGATGCCAAAATTCTGGTGCAATTATGGTAATGTCAGCACCTGTGTCTACCAGACCAGACAACAAAACACCATTTATTTTTATTGTTAGTTTTGGTCTTTGTTCATTAATAGAAGTTTGCCAAAAAATTTTCTTTATGTTTTTTCCTGTATTTCCTATTTTCTCTGTTTCATCATCTCGACTAACATGATTTATTCCAATAGACATTTGGTTATTTAGTTGCTTTGAGTAGGGGTTTCCTCTACAACTGCAGGAAAGGTTTGAACTGGATTTACTGTGGGGGCCTGCCTGAGGCCCCTCTGGGAGTTTCCCGAAGCTCGAGGCAGAGGGTTACCCTGTCTGTCCCTTGTTGATCTACATTCGTTGGTCCAGTGTTTTCCCTTACCACACCTTCTGCATACTCCAGAAGGAAGGGGCATTTTGTTGCCAGTGTTCCTTGAAGAAACATTATTTCTAGGAATGACCTGTTTACAATCCCTTTTCAAATGTCCTTGCTTTCCACATCCAAAACATCTAACATTGCTCAAACCTTTTGAAATTGCTTTTCCTACCCACATATCATTATGGTCATAAGCCTCTACATTAACTGTATCTCTAATCCAATCTTCCAAAGGTGCAGATCTTGCCTTTAACGGCCTGATTATTCTTTTGCACGCTGCATTTGCATTCTCAAAGGCTAAAGATTCAATTATTATCTGACTAGCCTCTGAATTCGGGACCATTTTTTGTACTGCTGAAGTCAATCTTTGTAAGAAATCTGTGAAAGATTCTTTGGGGCCCTGTATAACCTTTGTAAATGACTCAGTTTTTTTTCCTGGTTCTTCAACTCTGTCCCATGCATTCAAAGCTGCCGTTTTACATAGAACTAGGGTTTGGACATCATAGGAACATTGTGTTTGTACTGAAGCATATTGGCCTTCGCCAATAAGCTGATCCTGGCAGACTTGTATTCCGCTATCCCTCCATTGTCTTTCTATATTTTTAGCCTCATTACTGAACCACATTTTCCACTGGAGATTGTGTCCGGGTTCAAGAACAGCCTGTGCCAATTCCCGCCAGTCCTTTGGTAGAATCCTATTACAAGTTGACCAGGTGTTTAACATTTGCTTTACATATGGGGAGTGCATGCCATAAGATGCTATTGCCTCCTTAAATCTTCGTAAGTCTAACATTTCAACTGGAACCCAAGTATTTTGTTCATTCTCTTCATCAGGTAGCTGCTGTATGGCTACTGGATAAATTAAGGGTGATTGTGTGAAAACTGGCTTTCTTTCTGTAACCTTATGATCCAATTTTGAAACAACTTCACTATTTATTTCTTCTGTCTGAATTTGAATTTCTCTATAATTAATTTTTACCGGTTTAACAAGTTTTTCTAAGACTGTTATCCTGGCACTTAAGTTGACGATCTTTTTAAATAGTAAAATGAGGATAAGAAAAGTAATAAACTGAATAATTCGATCAATATTAATCTTTTCATATAGTTGTTCCATTGTCAGAGTGCCTAAAATTTCAAACAAAGCCCAATTTTCTTCCAATGTACACATAAAGCCCATTTTTTTTAAATGTAGAAATTGATATGTTAATTGACTTACCAAGTCTGGGTAGAACAGTAGAATCCCAGGGAATTTCACAGCCACCTGGTGTTCGAGGTGTGAATCCAGCGAGAGAGAGAGAGAGAGAGAGAGAGAGAGAGAGAGAGAGAAGCCGCTTGAGCCGAGTCAAGCCTTGGCTTTACAGGCAGGGGCCCTGTTCAGCAGGGCAGGTCTGAGTTGTTTGCAGGGCAGGTCTGAGTTGTTTGTAGCAGTTGCAAGTAGCTCCAGCTGCGGGTCAGTCAGGCCTGGGCCCAAGCTAGGCAGCCGGGCCGCCCAGGCTGGAAACCAGACCTGCCGCCAAACCAAGCCAAGCGGTTTTTAATGAATTCTTGTCACGTTGGGCGCCAAATGTAGATGTATCCAACCTTCTTATTAAATAAGAAACACAGAACCAATGCAAAGAAGAAAGCCAAGAGGTCAGAGCTAAGAGCTAAAACCTTACCCTTCCTCCTGCAGTGGTCCTACCTCTCCAAACCAGAACTACCCCTGTGTTAAAGTCTTTATATAGAGTTCCTGTCTTGCCTTCTCATTGGTTGTAAACCCAACCACATGACCGCCTCCTCACAGCCTGTCTGTATAGGCCTCCAGGTTTTCCATGATTGGTATTAAGATTAAAGGCATGTGTATCCAATAATGGCTGTATCCCTGAACACACAGAGACTTACCCAGCTCTGCCTAGCAAGTGCTGGAATTACAAGCGTACGCTACCACTGCCTTGCTTTCCTATGGCTTGCTAATAGCTCTGACCCCCGGGCAACTTTATTTATTAACATACAAATAACATTTTAATACAAATAAAATATCACTATAAGGAGTAGATCGGGGAAGGACAAATGGGAGGCAGGATTTGGGAGGAAAGGAAGGAGGGGAAACTTTGGTTGGGGTGAAAAAACAAACTAAGTCAAAACAACAAAAAAGTATGTGTTTCTAGGAATCAGTGGCTGACAAAGGAATGGGAGTGGGTTACTAGGGAGAGGTGAGAAGGTCCACAGGAAGGAGGAAAGTTGGATTCACACCTAGGTTCTTCTGAATCACCAGAGAATGGAGGCGCAACTTTTTGTTTTTCTCTCTCTTACTCATACATATATTTGTATATATACATATATATGATATCCATCTCTAGATAGATAGACAGACAGACAGATAGATGAATTTTGAGCCTGGGAATAATATGATCATATTTACATGCATTTGAAAAATGTAATTCCATACTCAGCTAGCAGAGGAGACACCATGATCACGCAGGTGGTTTTCCCAGGGCAAGGCTCGCCCATTGCACTCAGGGTGTGCTGACCCTTGTGATTTCCCCAAATGCAGGAAATTTGACTGAATAATTTGTCGTAGTAGGGGACTGCATTCACTCTCTCCCCTGAAAAACATGTAATTCTGGCCACTCTGCAAAATAAACTATAGAGATCCAAGTCTGAGCCCTATTAATCAAAGCTCACATTAGACCAGATGAGAAATTGTGATGAATCTGTCTAGTTATGTTGATAGTTTTGAAATACATGTGGAAGGAAGAGCCAAGAGTACTTGGTGATTGATTGATATGTACTGTAAGGAACAGTGATAATGGCCTAGGCATATATTTTATATCATGAGTGTGAACTAGTGAAGACAAATATCCATAGCTGGATAAAGACAATTAACACCTCTGTGATTCAAGGACCAGATTACATTTGAATGGTTAAAAAAGTACATTTTATTAAGGGGAGTGTTCAGAACAAGGTTCAGGTGAAGCCCAAACCCCTCATTTGACAAATGAAGGAATTAACACAACGAACTATTCTACTTTGTAAATTAATCTTGTGCTGTGTACAAATGCTTTATCTCCCAAATTAGAACATAAACTTCCAAGTATCATTACTTGTTTTGTAGACATGTCTTCCTAATAGCATCTGATATAGGGACTGATAATATAAGAAAAATTCAATAATTGCTTTCTAAATCAAAATAAATTGAACATCTTCTTTCTCAGATAAAAGAAAAGAGATGTTGTGGCTATTGGTAATGGTGGTTGTCTCAGGGTATTTATTGCTATGAAGAGACACCATGACCATGGCAACTCTTATAAAGGAAAATATTTAATTGGGTGGCTTACAATTTCAGAGGTTTAGTCCATTATCTTCATGGTGGAACATGGCGGCATGCAGGCAGACATGGTGCTGGAGAAGTAGCTAAGAGTCCTATGTCTTGCAGGCAACAGGAAGTCAACTGTCACACTAAGCAAAGCTAGAACAAAAGAGACCTCAAAGCACCCCTCACAGTGACATACTTTCTCCAACAAGGCCATACCCACTCCAACAAAGCCACACCTTCTAATAGTGCCACTCCCTATGAGATGATGGGGGCCAATTACATTCAAACTGCCACAGTGGTAAAGTGATTTTTCATTTTGCTGGGTTTGTTTAATCATCTAAAAATCTCATGTTGCCATCTATTTTAGTATGGTAGTGGTTTATAAAACCCCATTGATGCACCTCACTATTTTTGTGACTAAAGCTTCATGCCGCTGTGTTTGCTTTCAAAGGCATCCTGTATTTCCTTGGTATTTTCTTCTTCAGCAATTCAGTGTCATAACAGACCACCTCACTATATCCTACACTGTATGCAGTGCTCAGATGACCCCATCCTTCTTTCTAAAGATGATCCTCCTTGCTGTTGTGGCTTGTGGCAAATCTCCACTCTCCTGTGTTACACCCTCATTTTGAAGGTTAACCCTGGGAACCTAGACCAGTGGGGTTTTGTTTGTTTGTTTGTTTTGAGACAGGGTTTCTCTGTGTAACAGCCATGGATGTCCTGGAACTCCCTCTTTAGAACAGGCTGGTCTCAAACTCACAGAGATCTGTCTGCCTCTGCCTCCTGAGTGCTGGGCTCAAAGATGTGTACCAGCACTGCCCAGCCCAGTTCCTTTTTAGTAGCAATCACAACAATCGCTGAATTCCTCTCTGTCTTTGTGGGGATGATGTCATAGTTCTCTTACCCTTGAATTACAGGCCATGCTTGTCAGCTCAGACACCACTGTCAGTTTGATTCTGGGTCTGCTTCTCAGCATGTTCACCTGTCTCTGCCCTTCACCTTCACCCTCATTTCCTGCTTCCTCATTGTGGTTTTCATATGCTGAAGATCTGCTGTGTGGAGGCCAGGCTCAAAGCTTTCTCCACCTATGAAAACTCCCTACCTCTTGTCACCCAATCACGTGGACTAGAAACCTCAGTCAAAAAAATCTCAGAAAAGAAGATTTCTCAATGTTGTAGATTATTTACTTCCATTTTAAATCCCACAACTTATATCCCGAAAAATAAACATGTAAAAATGCTGTAAGAAAGAATAGAAGCCTAAAAATATTTGAATATCTGAGGGCTTATATAACCAAGTTTGTTATTGACTTATAATAATAAAAAGTGGAAATAATAAATTCTATTTTAGAAAGGTAATTAAAATGAGTTATTTATAATTCCAACAAATATGTAAAATAGAACTTCCTTCTGCTGAGAAAAACATGTTAAAATTTCACAATGCCATCTATTTAAGTAGCTAATTACAAAAGACAATTTTGAGAGATTTTTAATGAAATAATCATCAGTAGATTTTAATCATGAGTCTGATTTTTATTTTACTAAATTGGAATTATGCTAGTATTCTAAGATTCCCTTTTCTAAGTAATAAAAAGCAAAATTGCTTAAGGAGCAATTGCTATTTTAATATTTTCAGTATGAGATACTATAACTCAGGTTTAAAGTGATGGATGTTATTGACTAAAAAGAGGAAAACTATTGTCTTAATTTCTACATGGAATGTATTCTGCTGAAGCAAGGAGCCCTCCAAAACTGTGGATGAACTCGGAGCTGAACCTCATGTCCCTAAGACCCTTGAAACTGTATGTCATTTTAAATATGTATTTATAATGCATTATTATGTTGTATGATGAGGTGAGACAACTTGCAGTAGTCACTTCTTTCCTTCTACCATGAATCTTGGGAATCAAATTCAGGTTATTTATTAGGTTTGGCAGCAGGCTCCTTTACCCCTAAGCTGTCTCACCAATCCTAAATTGTATGTCTTTTTGTTTGTTTATCTGATAAAATTTTATTCTTCACATATAATAAAATGTGTGTGTGTATATATATATATATATAAGAATATATATATTCTTGCTGCTGAAATATTTTTATTTTCTTTCATTTTTCTCTCACCCATGACTGCAATTTTCCCTCCTCCACTCTTCCCAATCCTCCCCCCACATTCTCTCTCCCCTAGACCACTCCTGTTTCCCTCCAAAAAAGAGCAGTCCTCAGAAGAATATCAACTGGATATGGCATAAGAAGTTACAATAAGACTAGCCCAAACTTCCATATCAAGGCTGGACAAAGTGATCCAGTAAGAGGAAAGGGGTCCCAAGAGCAGGCAAAAGAGTCAGAGATACCATCCAATCCCCCTATTAGGAGTTCCAGAAGAACACCCCACTACACAACCATAACTTATGTTCACCGGGCCTAGCTCAGACCCATACAGGATCCATGATTACCGTTTCAGTCTCCCCTATGAGTCCTGCTTAGTTGATTTTGTGGGCTGTGTCCTCATGGTGTCCTTGACCCCTCTGGCTCCTACATTCTTCCTCTCTTCTGTGGGGTACACCTGGTTCTGCCTGGTATTTGGGTTTCGGTCTCTGCATCTGCTTCCATCAGTTGCTGCATGAAGCCTCTCTGATGACAGGCTATGCACTGATCTATGAGTATAGCAGAATATCATTAGTAATCAACCACATAACCTCCGACCTACAATCTGTGCTGTCTCCAAGATGTGGTAGGGTAATGGTGGTGTAGAGCTTGTTGGGGTGGCCAACCAATGACTGGTCCAACTTGAGGCCCATGCCGTGAGAGGGATCCTGTGCCTGACTGCCTCTATGGCCAGGAACCAGAGGCTGGACAGCCCAGAGACTCGGGATAGAAACAAACACAACTGGGAAAAAAATCAATGAAATTGTTACTGATGATATTCTGCTAAACTGTATGTTTTGATCAGAATATAGAACAGTATATACTCTGTCAGTGTATAGTACTTTTGTCTTCTAAATTGTTCTAAAAGTATGAGAAAATTCAGCTCAGGAAGATTGTCTTCAAAAATATGCAATATGTAGTATTCCATTAAGAGTATAAAATCTAAAATATTCATTATTTTAAATAGGTTAGAGGAACAAAGAAAAATAGAAAATCATTTGTAATCACTCAATGAGGTTTCCATAGGTTTTAAAGTCATATAGGTATATATTTGAATCTAACCCCACAGCTGTATTAATTTCTAAGTTTAAGCTTCAAATTTCTTACTGAAAAATGGGGATTATAAAAATGCCTACCTGACAATTTTGAAAATTAAGCAAAGTAATAACTATGGAGTTGCTATCATAATTTTTTTGTTTTTTCTGTTAGCTTAGGGGCTGCACCTGAATCTACTGGGATTTTAACTACCATTTTGGGCCCTATGGCCCCACAGTCAGCACCCTGCCCCTCAGACTGTAGCCTAGCAGGATTTCCAGTCCCACTGGCACTGTTTTGGTTGTGGTCATCAAATAAAAGTTTTAACTAAGTCTCTATCATTCTAATTACCAATAAAGACTTGGGAGTCAGATGCTGGTGTGAAAACCTGTTAGATCCCAGAAGCTGAGGAGGAACCAGCTGACCTTCCTTTTTGACTGGAGACCCAGCAGGAGAAGCATGTCTCCACTCATCCCATACCAAGAAAAGACCATGAATCTCCAAGTCCCTCCCTACTCCTTCCGGTGTGTCTTTCTATCAGCATTCCTGGTTCCTCTGTCCTCTCTATGGCTAATTCCTGTCAGTTTAGTTGCTGGCTTAGGTCCCAATCCAAAATTAGTTTTTTTTAACACTGTCTCGGAGTTTCACAGTGTGATCAAATATCCCACAATGGGGTTTCTCTGTGTAATAGCCCTGGTTATCCCAGAACTCGTTTTGTAGACCAGGCTGGCTTCAAAGTCACAGAGAACCTCCTGCCTCTGACTCCCAAGTGCTGGGATTAAAAGTGTGTTCCACCACCACAAGGCTGCTATCATAATTTCTAGAAGATCATAGTCATGACAAATATGTGAGTCAAAACAGAAAACAGGACCATCAATTCACCCTTTACTTCTGTGTAAGTGGCCATTTGCCTATGTATATAGAAAAAAAATGAATGTATTATTTAAAAGTAATTGATAGCATAACAGATTGAAAAATTATGTTCTTTTTATTATTTTCATTTCAATTTATTTCATTATAGCTAGTGTTGACAATCTGGTTGTATAGCTCAATGGTAAAGTGGTTTCCTGTCATGCGTAGGGTACTGAAATTGAATCCAACACCACAAAATTGAAAA